TGGATTGTGATAAGAGTCGTATGAGCCCCTAGTAAAACGATTTTTTAAAAAGTATGATGAAAATATACAACCCTCATGCACATCTTTCCTGAATTTAAGCCATGAGGTATTTCTGTGTTATGTTAGCCCAGCTGTCTCTTGATCCATGTACAGGTTCCACCTGAGCACAATGAAGTGTTCTGGAATTCCCGTTCTTCTCAAGGTTATTTATAGTTTGCTATGACCCACACAGTCGAATGCTTTTGCATAGTCAATAAAAAGCAAGTAAACATAAAAAAAACAACAAGAAAGACCCCTAGATTATGACCCTTAGATACCCTTCAGACTTAGACTTAGAACTCCCCCGAGAAATCACATACAGCCAAATAAGTGAACAATACAACCAAGAATGTGCTCTGTAGAACAGTGAACCACACATGCCAGCATATGCCTGAAAACAAAGCCCAGAAGATCTGTTTTTGTACAAGCAAACACCTCATGGGATCTGAATCCTTGGTCCAGATATAGAGTCATGGTTTCATGGGATATCCTGGTTCATTGGGTTGACGGCGTCGGATTTAGTGCTACCTCCTAGTTCATTGCATTGTGCCTGAGGTCTGAAAAGCATGCAAACAACTACCCAAGGCACAGCAATGGTTCTGTATTAACTGTAGCCACAGAGGAAGAAGAAGAGTCCCAAATAGGAGGAGGATAGGAAGTATGTGGCTAATTGTCTCCATAAACAACTGCTTCCTTTGCCATAAGACCAGAAGCACTGGATGGAATAGCTACCATTACTGAAAATTTTAATCAAAGATGTTAACGAAGGTTCTTGATCAAAAGGGGGAAATGCCTAACATAATTTAACATTCTCATGAACTCTAGTCCTTCTGGAGCTATGGAGGTGAAACACCTGAGACTATTGCCCAGAGCTCATCTGAAAACCTTGAACCAAAAATATACTCTGAAATCTCCTTAAAACGGAACAGTAGTTTCACTAGTAAAAATCCTCTACTTTGAGCTTTATACTCTTTTAAGAACTATCAGGATGGGATCAGATTGACAACCACTTAAAATGTTAGATAGGAACTTCAGGAGTATAGAGTTTATAGGAATGAGGGAGGAACAACTCAGACAAGGAAGATGAGAATGGTTGTATAAATTGAAGAATGTAATCAGTGTCACTAAATTATACATATAAAAGCTGTTGAATTGGTTAATCTTCAATAACAAAATCAGTAGAATTTAAATAAAGAAGGATACTATAATTGAATTTATCTACATCAGCGATTGAATAAAGAATACCCTTCAAGACAGTTCAAGGATAAAACTATGATGTTCTGGCACTGATTAGAATACGTTGCATTTATCTATGGATGGTGACTTTGCCTACAGCTATCATCAATCTTGAATCCCAACCCAAAACCACCATTTGGTTTCCCAAATTAATTGCATTCTTTTCAAGCAAAATAGTAAAAACGAAAGGCAAGAATAGGACTTGTCCATGATATCTATCATGTTGAACAATAGGAAAGACAGAGGAAAGGTTGATCCATATATGTGTCTGCAGAGGCCAAGATACAGCCAGTTGATAAGGGAAGTTCAGGTACTGTCTGATAAGAATGAACAATGGAAAAGTTCATGGGGAGGAACTCTCCATCCCAGTGGTAACATGAAGGAATCCTTCATTTCTTTTCTACAGTGTGTTTATTTGTTTTGGAATCTTAGGAGTGTCTAACAGGCACCACCAACCTAAATATATTGAAGACAAAACTTTTTATTTTCTCTATAAAGCCTGCTCTTTTCATTTTTCCCTATCATCATCAATGATAAATCTCATCTTCCAGATGTTCAAGACAAAAAACTTATAAACTATCATTGACCTTTATCTTTTCTATCATCCCAAGTCATTGTACCAAAAAGAACTGGTCGACATTCAGCCGTTTAAAGAGGTAGCATATGATCAAGAACCAGTGGTGCTGAAGGATGCAGTCCAAACTGCATGGAGGCAACAGCCCAAACAAGGTTCCAGAAATTGAGGGAATACCAATTTAAATGTTTCAACGAGTTCATAAAGTCCTAGTCTATGTCAAGAAATTTGGAGGACAGCTACATGGCCAACATACTGAAAGATTTATGTCCATTCAAAGAAAAGTGACCCAACAGATGCTAAAATTTCGAACAATATCACATGCAAGTACAAATTGGTGAAG